TGTGAAGCATCTGAGAGATTAATATCCAGAATATATAGAGAACTCCTAAAACAACAAAAAATCCAATTCAGAAATGGGCAAAGGACTCAGACATTTCTCCAAAAATAAACAAATGGCCATGAACAACATGAAAAGATCCTTAACATAACTAATCAGAGGGAAATGCAAAGCAAAACTACAAGATACCACCTCACACCCATTAGGAGGGCTACTATCAAAGAAACAAAATAACAAGTGTTGGTGAGTGGACAGGGAAATAGGAACCCTTGTGCACTTTTCCTAGTTCTCCTTGTGTACAATGGAGTTATTATTCACACTTAAAAAGGAAGGAAATTCTGACATATGCTACAACATGGTTAAACCTTGAGGATTATGCTAAATGAAACAAGCCAGTCACAAAAAAAGCACTGTAGGATTACACTTACATGAAGTATTTAGAGTAGTCAAAACTATAGGGACAGAAAGTAGAATTGTGGTTGCCAGGGGGTGAGGGGAGGAGGGAATGGGGAATTACTGTATAATGGGTACAGAATTTCACTTTACAAAAGTGAAAAGAGTTCTGGAGGTGGGTGGTGGTGATGGCTGCACAATATGAATGTACTTAGTACTGATGAATTGTACATTTAAAAATGGTTAAGACAGTAAATTTTATGTTCTGTGTATTTCCAATTTAAAAATTGTGGGAAAAAAATCCCTACATTTCTACAAAAGGTTATTTATATTATGATTCCCTTATAAGAAATATCTATAATAGGCAAATTCATAGAGACAAAGTGGATTAGAGGTCACTGGGAGCTAAAATGAGGGGAGAAAGGGAGTTATTACTTAATGGATACAGGGCTTCTGTTTGGGAATAATGGCAATGGTTGCACATCGTGAATGTACTTAATGCCACTGAATTGTACACTTAATATTATTTAAAATGGAAATTCTGTTATGTGTATTTCACCACAAGTTTTAAAAAAAAATTTTCCTCCCACTAAGAACATGCTGAATGCTTGTTATACACATTATATCTACACAATAAGACTTACTGCCTCACTGAATACGTGAATGGTTAAGTGAATGTATTAGAAGTAATGCTTACAGAAGAGATTTGGCAAAAACATGGAGACATTAACAGTAAGATGTTATCAGGAAAAAGCAAGCCACAGAACTATGAACAGTGAATCATTCCAGCCATAAAAAATGTACCCAGTGGGACAGAAATGAGAAGAAAATAAAGCAACTGTTCTAAAGGCTCTCTTTAGATACTGGAGTTAGAGACGATGGGGGTGGGAGGGGAGTGGAGGTTTCTGTATTTTCCAAAATGTCTAGAATGAGCATATTGCTTTCACGATTAAAATTACTTTTTAAAAAAGTACACATTCAAGATGGTCTGGCTACAGCCAAATGCTGTGGGGTCTAGAGAGGAGTGCCGCACTAGTAGTTCCGCCACAAGCAGTTGCCCGAGGGCTATCGCCAGCCCAGAGTGTTCCAAACCACCACTGACTCCTCTCCTCCCTGCCTGTGACCAAACGCCTGAGTAGCCCCCAAATGACAGCATTCCCCAGTGGTCTTACCACATCTTGGATGATACTGAAGTACCCCTTCCACTTGACCATGGCCATCCCAGCTTTTCCTGGTCAGCAGTGGCTGGAGTCAAGACAAGCTCTGATGGTCGGCAGTTTCAAATGGACTATTTGGGGCTTTATCATATCCAAATCCAACTCCATTTAGTCCAGGGAGTTACAGGCACTGCCTCCGATTTCGCAGTTGCCCTCGCTCTGAGTTACGTCAAGGGGCTTCAGGGAATGGGTAAACTCTTTGAATGTTTACATGCAAAATTGTACGCAGTGACAAATAACTCAGTTACAAAATCGTCAAAGGATTTGAATAGACATTTCTCCAAAGATATACAGATGGCCAGTAGACAACATGAAAAGATGTCCGACATCATCAGTCATTAAAGAAATGAAAATAAAAACCACAATGAAATGCTACCACACCCACCTGGATGGATATAATGATGATGATGATGATGATGATGACAATAGGACAGCTACAAATGTTGAAGAGGATGTGAAGAAAACAGAACTCTGATATATTGCTGATGTAAATGCAAAATGGTACAGCTGCTGTGGAAAACAGGCAAGTCCTCAAAATGTTAAACATAGAGTTGCCATATGACCCTGCAATTCCACTCCTAAGTATACACATCTAAAAGAACTGAAAATACGTTCAAACAAAGATGTGTACATGAAATGTTCATAGCAGCATTAGTCATAATAACCAAAAGGCAGAAACAACCTAAATGTCAATCAACTGACAAACAGATAAACAAGATGTGGTATATCCATACAATGGGATATTATTCAGCAGTAAACAGGAACAAAGTAAGTACCGCTATATACTACAACATGGATGAACCTTGAAAACGTTATGCTTAATGAAAGAAGCCAGACACCAAAGGCCACATACTGTATGACTCCAGATTAGTGGTTGCCTGGTGATGGGAAAGGGAGAATAAGGAGTGACTGCTGATGTGGAAAGGGGTTATTTTTGGGGTGGTGAAATATTCTGGAATTAAGAGAGTGGTGATGGCAGCACAACCTTGTGAACATACTAAAACCATTGAATTATACATTTTAAAATGGTGAATTTTGATATGCGCATTCTACTCAAAAAAAAACTTGAAAGACATTCTACAAAATAATTGGCCAGTTCTCTTCAAAAATTTAAGAGTCATGAAAGACAAAAAAGACTGAGAAACTGTTTCAGATATAAGGGACTAAGGAGACTTGTTAACTAACTGCAATGTAGGAAACTGGATGGGATTCTGGAACAGAAAAAGGACATTAGTAGGACAAGTAGTGAAATGTGAATAAAGTCTACAGATTAGTAGTATTAATGTTAAATTTCTTATTTAGATAATTTTAATATGGTTATGTAAATTATTTCAAAATAAAAGTTTAAAAAATGTACATGATGTAAGGGGTTGGCAAGTTTTTCTGTAAAGCCACACAGTAAATACTTTATAGACTTTGTGGACCATATGGTCTTTTGAGCAATTACTCAACTCTGCTGCCACAGACAATATATAAACTAATGTGTGTGGCTGTTTTCCAATAAAACCTTATTTATGGACACTGGAATTGCATTTTCCTATATTTTTTATGTATCATGAAATATTATTCTTTTGATTTATTCCTCACCATTTAAAAATGTAAAAACCAGCTCACAGGCTATGCAAAAACAGGCAGTAGGGCCAGAGTCAGCCCACAGGCCACAGACTGCAGATTCCTGCTCTAAGTCAGAAATTGCCAATGTGTGTTTCAATTTAAAAAGAAGTGCTTCACATCAATTAAGTTTGACAAAACCAAATTAAACAAGATTAGGTACATTTCTTTACTGCAGGACGTTTCAGTATCTTTAATGATGTACTATACATTGAAAACTCCAAAAAGGGATAATAGTATGTTGTAGCTCTTTCCACTTATTTTTACCACAGAACACTTTTTTCAGAAGCATCTATTCAGACCAGTGGGCTGAAAAATACTATGGAAATGCTGGTTCAGGTACTTTTTAAAAAAGAACTTTTTAGATTGAAAAGTTTTAAAGACACTACCAAATTAAAATCATTTTACCTGGTACTTGGATAACATCTCAATAAGCATTTCACAACTTTCTTTTTTTAATCCTAAGAAACACAAACATGGCAGGAAGACAAACACAGGCTGGAAGTATTGGCTCAAACTCAATCCTTCTGTGGGGGTGGGGGCATGTCAGCAGGATTGGGTCATAATATGGAATCTCTGTTCCATCAGACAATTCTATGAGGTTTTCAAAAAGTGATCTGCTTGGAGTTCTGTAAATCACTAAATAAGGAGCGTTGACATTTGATGAGAAAACTAAAGATACGCTAGAAGCGTTATCTGCAGATAACATGTAAGTGAGGATGAACTAGCAAGCCCACAATCGTACTGGTTTTAAATGCTGAATGGAAAGTCAGCCAAAAGACTGCAAAAATACCCTCGGTAGACACAACATCTGAACGACACTGCTGGAGAGAGGATTAAAGGGGGATTTACATCCCAGGGAGAAAAGACTGGCCTGAACAACCTCTAAGGGGCCCTTCTGACCAAGGCGCCCCACCTCTGTGATCAAAAGAGTCCACTGGCTTCTGACCAAACACGAAGTCTTCAGAGGTATTTCCACGTTGTTCTAAGAAATTACACTACAAACCAATACGGTGGGGACCCTGCTTAGTTATTCATTCAGCAAGCATCTATGGAGCCTTATCAGATGGGCCATTCCAAAGTCCTTGAAAAGAAGGATGGTACATAGGACAGCCAGGACATTACATAAATTCAGACCCATTGACCTTACTTCTAAGAGATGCAGGCAGAAAAAAAAATAGCACCAAAAGTATTCAAAATAACTACTCGGAATCAGACACTTCCAAGTTGGAAAAGATCTCCACTTAATACCTGTATTATCTCTCCTGACAAGTTCACTACCTTTGGGGCAATCCATTCCATTGCTGGTTACCTTTGTATAGCATTAAATTCTTCTGTTAAGTGAAATCTTATCTTCCTGTAGAATCCACCTATTGGTCCTACTTCTGTCTCTTCCAACCCCAAAGATGAAGTGGAAGACTTCCTAACAATTTTTCCAGTTTTTGAAGTTCCCTTCCACTGATCTTTTCTGGGCTCGGTATCGGCTCCAGAGGCTTCCAAGCACAGAATGGGACTCTAGTACTCACAGCAGGAAAGCATTTAAAATCACTGGGCTTCAAACACGAGTATGTAAAGGACCCCGAGGTGTACATTCAAAACGTAGTATCTTTCCCAAGTTCTGGCCAAGATGCTCATCTAGAAGTCTTATTTGAGTCCCGCATTGTAAAGCAATCCCAGGGCATTTCAAATGGTGAGAACCATATTTTGAGAAACGTTGCTCTAGTTTACAAATGAAGAAACTTGAGGCCCAGCGAAAGGAAGAGATTTTGGCCCCCAGCTTACAATTAGCTGTCGGCGGCGAAGTCGCGAACACGGGTGCCTTCCTCCCAAGTCCGACTCTGTTCACCAAGCTCCCCGGCCTCGAACTCTGCACCCCGGGCAAACTTACTAAAAAGCACCTCCACAGCAGAGAGGAGGCCTCGAGGGGGAGAAGAAAGAGTGAGTCTCTGCCCGGAAAGGAGAGCTCGCAGGAGCCTTTTCCCTTCTCAGAGCCTCAGTTTCCCCAGAAGACCGCAACGCCAGCCCGGCCGCTCTCTCTTCGGCGGCGGGCGGCCCGGGGCAGAGCCGGACTTGTTGTCTCAGCGCCGCTGGGCTCCGGTGTCCCAGCCGTTTACGTACCTGCCTCTGCTCAGCTAACGCCGCTAAGGCTGCCCCAGCCTATCGGTCTGTCGGCGCCGTGCCAGCCCCGCCACCCCGTCAGTCTCTCGGGACAGACCAGTGATCTCTCCTACGCGGACTCCGGTCACCTGACACAGAACCGCCCCCTCCGAGGGACTTCCTGCCATAACCGGAAGAGGTTGGTGCGCTGCGCTGTTCTCCCGTCCAGGTCCGCAGCTGGAAGGTTCCGCCTGCGGGCCGCAAGCCAAGGGCCAAGGGGGCTGTCTGTCCGATTTTTCAGAGAGCATAGGTCTGCGTGGGGAAAGTGCAGATAAACCTGGAACATCTGTGGCACCGGAATGTAAGGATGAAGGGACTCAGAATAATGGCAGTATGTCAAAGGACACGGGAGCTAACTTGAAGGAGATCCCACTGGCCAAATCGTGGCAATTTGAGTTTCAAAATACATTATGATAGTAACAGTGTATAACTAATTGAATAAAATGGTAACTCATGAGTCTCTACAGATATAAATAAATATGTGAATGAATAAATGACGAGAGGGAAAATTCTTCCTTTTAGTAGAATGCCAACTAACAAACATGCTGAAAATAAATAAAGGACAGGAAAACCAAAGGAACAGGATGTTTACACAGTAACAGTGTCTCCTATAAATTACTCATTGATTGCAATGGGGAAAATGGTAATTTTGCAGAGGTATAACCTCCAAAAGCAAGTGAATCAACGTGGTAAGAATCAACATCACCTGTTATAGGTCAAGTAGGGATCATGTCTCCTCCTAAGAGGCACTGAGAAGGACACAACATCTGTGGTATTTCTGTCAAAAATACAAAACCCAAATCTCATGAGGAAGCATAAAATAAACCCAAATTAAAGGACACTCTACAAAATAACTCAATTTCACGAAAGACTGAGAAAGGCTGAGGAACTGTTTTGGTTTGAAGTAGTTTAGATATGCATTTCTTTAGATATGCATTTCTTTCCGAATCATGTGAAATTAAGTTAGAGACAGTGTGCCCTTTTATCCCTAAATAGTTCAGTATTTCCTAAGAATAAGGACATTCTTTTAACCACAATGATCAAATTTAGAAAATGTAACATTGATACAATATGTATTAACATCTAATCCACAATCCATCTTCAAATTTTGTCACTTGTCCCAATATTGTCCATTACACCTATTCTGCCTTCCTGTTCTCCAGTCCAGGTTCCAATTTAAAATCACACAGTACATTTTGTTGTCATGTACTCTCATTTTATCCACACTGCATAGGGGAAGGATGGTGAGGAGGATAAAGAAGTACAAACTTCCGATTATAAAATAAATAGGTCACAGGGATGAAAAGTACAGCATAGGGGATATAGTCAATAGTATTTTAATAACTGTATGATGACAAATGGTAACTACACTTATCACAGTAAACATTTCATAATGCACATAATTTTCAAATCTCTCTGTTGTACACCTGAAACTAATATGATTTTGTTTATCAACTATACTTCGATTAAAAAATGGGGGGAAGTGCTGGGTCCTAGCTGGGGATAAAATGAGAGTTCCTGTGGCCAGGAATCTCACCTGGCCCTGGTTGACTGGCTCACTGCACACCTGTGGGCAGTACATGGCTGTTGACTCTATATAAAGAACTCCGCCCAGTGCTCTGGGTGCAACACGGTGGCAGGGCTGCAAGGCTGCAGGAGAGCAGAGCAGAGGCTGGAGTGGTGGCAGTGCCCAGAACAGAGGCCCAGAGGAAGCTGGTGGGACGACTGTGCAGACAGAGGTGCCCAGAGGATGGCTGTGCAGGCAGAGAGGCCCAGAGGATGACTGTGTGGGTCGACTGTGCAGAGGCACCCAGAGGCAAGGGGAGAGACCAGCTTGCTGCATGCAGACTTGCTCTGAGTGAATGGGATTTTAGTGACTGACCTGCCATCTGGAAATAAAGTTGGGTATAACCCTTTCACCCCAAGAACATTTTGCTGTCAATTTCTTTGGTCACACTGAATCCATAGCGAACTTTCCCGGGGCTGAAACCCATTGGTAAGACACTAGCCAATTTATTTATTTACCTATCAAACATTTGTTTATGTGCTAGGCACTGGTGATGCAGTAAGAGACAAGACAAAGATCTTTACAAAATACTGAATATGAAATCACAAAACTAATAGACTACTTATCTTGAAAATAATTATTAACATTTACTGAGCTTAACTAAGCACATACCATGTAATGGTTTATTTGATCATCACAGCTGCCCTATGAATGGTTTTGATGATTATCTCCATTTCATCAAATGGGCAAAGGAAAACGTTTTCAAGTTTACACAATTTAATCATTTAATTAAAAGTTTTCAAAATATACTGCTATGTGGTGGAGCTGCAATTTGCACTTTCCAGTCATTCTCTGGAGTTCCTTACACCCACCTTCAGTGTTTCATTAATTCAACAAACATTTATGAAGTGCCTACAATTATCTTAGGGGCTGTATTAAGGGGTTGGGTCTGAGAAAGGGGTGAAGGTAGTAGATGAAAAAAAGCTCATAAATTAAATTCCAGATCTGCCAGCCCTCTTCTTAGGTTCCTGTAGAGAGGGAGTAACATAGGGGGTGCTTCCAGTCATTCAAACCTGAGTCCAAGCTCTGAGAAAAATAAAAGCAGCCCTTCATATCCAGGAGCTGGCTTGGCACACAGAGGTAAACATTGGTGTTGAACATAAAATAAAAATGTCACAGAACATCAACATCAAACAAGGCCACTCTGTGACTGTGGTGGATCAAGATAATAACAAGACCTCCATAATCATGTCTGAACCAGACTACACATGAGCATTGTCCAAACCACAAAAATGGCCAAACATTTCACAATCCTGCTTATATATGGATTGCTGCTTCTTTACCAATTACAGCTTTAGTTCAGTCTAGTCTTCCCTTCTAGAAGACTTTAGATCTGGATACCCAAACATAGACAGCATCCAATCCAGATTGATATCCGCTTCCTTCAACTCTCCCACATATTACTTAACACAAACCCAAATCCTAAATATCCTTTCTGAACCTCTGTTACTGAGATGCTCCATCTTTTCTCGTGGTTCAAATCATCCTCTTTGCTCTAACAAGTAATAAACCCAACTTGTTCAACCGTGGTGCCTGGTGGTCTTTGGTTAAAGGGCATTGAAAGTTCCCTTGCTGACTGTGACTGCAGAGCACAGTTTCACCCTACGTACAGAAGGCCTCTGTTGCCTTGTGTTATAAATGGAGAGATTGATTCCTACCTCAGAAGGTTCTCGTGAGGTTACAGAACAGACTTAGCACATAGTGAGTTCTCAGTATACGTAAAAAAATCCTCTTTGAACCATGGCCTCCTTTGTAAAAGTCACAGAGCACCATTATTATGAAAAGATATTGAAACCATCAGCTTCAATGAAGACAAACCAGCTGCTTACAGTCCTCTTTGCTCTTTTTATTGAGTTCATAAGGCAGACTACAGGTAAGAGTTCAATTTTTCCTTTATCTGAAAGGAGGTCATTCTCACGGTCTCTTCTGGAAAGCAATAACCACATTCCTGAACTTTTAATGTTAGGGAACCAGCACTGTTTATTTCTTCATGTTCTTTTTATCTAAAACATTCCCAAGAAATAACAGATTTGGGACTTCCAAACTTGGAGGCACTTCAGCTTCAAAAATATATCAAGTGTAATCTTCTCTGCTCTAGCACACGAAGGTGCTTTAAGATCCCAGAAGCCCTGTTGGTGATGTTTGCATTCATCCTGCTAGGACCCAGCATGGAATTAATATGATCTGATACCAACAACAAATTGTGCTGAACAAAATATATTCATTCTAGGGGAAAGAATAAAATAAATTAAAATGTTCTGATTTATTCTGCTGCTTGCTCTGAGCATCCCACAGGTATTCATTTGAATAGTTTTAACCTTCCTCCTGCCCCTTCTCCTCCCTTTCCCTTACTCCTCTAATACTAATACTTAAAATGACAGCTAATATTTATTAAATGTCTATTAATGTGCCATATACTGTGAGCAGGGCTTTATACAATTTAATCCTCACTCCAAAATTGTGAAACAGATATTATATATAGGATCGAGAGGCCCAGAGAAGTTAAGCAATATACCCAAGGCCGCAACAGCTGGGAAGAATCAGGCTCAAGATTGAAATATGCCTGAAAAAAACCTGTCTTGTTGAAATGCTGCTGCCACCCTGGGCTAGAGAGTAGGCTCTATGAAGGGATGGGGGTAAAGATGGAGTTAGAAAGGAAGGAGAGGGCCGGGCAGCGGGGAGTGGGAATCTATGCAGAGGCATTGAGGTCATCTCCAGAGGGAAGGGGTGGGGATTAGGAGCAAAAGACAAGTTGGAGGCCACTGCAGAACCTGAGAGGGAGCAGGCAGGCACCCGAGTCAAGGCATCTGGCAACGCTGGATATTGGGAAAAGGCAAGTTATTGGGGGGGAGAAGGTGTAATCAAGGATCTGAGACCTCCGGTGTATATATCTGCCAGGTGAAGAGAGACAAGGAATCTGGCCAATTTTCTCTGTTAAGACTCACAGGTCCCTGTCCTTCCCCTTCTGTTCAGTTCGGGGAGAGAAGCCTCCAGGGTCCCAGACACCAGCCGGGTCAGGAGGTGGCATCACCTTTTCCTCCTCCTCTCACGTGACATGGGGAGAAGGTTCCCTCCCTGGGCCTGGCCTGTCCCTGCCGCCCACCCCAGACTGGGGTTAGCTTCCCCTTACAGGTACAGGAAGCTCGGAGAGGAAGACCGTGTGTTCAGGCAAAAGGAGAAAGAGAGAGAAAGCACCCCCTAACACCCTCAGCCCCATCCCTTCCTCGGAGGACACCGGCCAGTTAGGAACAGGGCCTCATTGGTTACCCAACCCAGGGCAAAGGTGC